AAAATCATACCGCCAGTGAAACGCGCGTTTCACTGAACGGAAAAACGTGCTAAAAAACGTGAAAAAACGAGCTGAAAAACGAGCAGAAAAAATACGCTCAGGTGTGAACCCAGCCTTAGGGTACTTGAATGCGTTTTTAAGATTTAACTCCTGAGTTTTGTGTCACTTTAAGGTTGCTAGGATGGATAGCTGTAAGTCTATTATTGTACATGAATTGAAATGTACTTAATATTTATATATTATAAATATCTCATTCTGTTGAGCATTTCAAGCGTTCCCTATAAAGCTATTTTTCGAGATATCTATTTTATCACATTAATTTATCACAGTATGGTAGTTTTCAGCCTCTGAGCATTGTTATGTTTGGTTTTGACATCAGGTATTACAGCACACATGAACAAGTTTTATCAAATGTGTTAGCAAAATGAATTTATGACATCCAAACAATGTTGTAGGCACTTATTGGGGTTGATTTACTAAAGGGAAACAGGCTGTTCACTTTGCAAGGCAATTTTTTCCATTAGCTAAGTAAATGAGGTGAAACTTGGATGACTTCCATCATCCAATCACATGCAGCAAAAATATAGTTTTTTTTTTGTTTCCTTGCATGTAATTGGGTATTCTTTGCAGAGTGAATGTTAAACACAGACATTTTACCTTTAGTAAATCGACCCCTTAACCTCAGCCTAACACCTAACCCTGGCTGTAAAGATGAATCATGGACTTAACCCTTGATGTAAACATAAACCCCTAAAGTTAACGCTAAACCTGAATGTAACCCTTAACACCAGTCTTAAATTTATGTTTACATTTTTCATTTGGATTGCTAGATGTGAACATCTTTCCAGCAACCGTATGATATACTGAAACAGCTGTAGCAGCTACCGATAGGCGCTCTAAGACAAGATAACAGGTCATCTCTTCTTTTTTCCGTGCAGTTTGGTGGCCTCTACAGTGACATGTTAAAACTACAAGGTTAACTGCATTCTATCCCAACTCCAAATTCTGTTTCTATTTTCACAAAAACAATCATGCAACATGATTATTTTTGTGAAAATAGAAGGGGTTGAACACAAAAAAATAAATTTGCATAGGACAGTAAGATCTTGGAGAGAATCTACATGGTGCCTCTCCTGTTGTTACCCCCAGTCACACTCAGTTAGGGGGTAGAGTGCAGAATGCATATATCCTAATGCAATTAGGTAAGACCATGACAGCTGCCAGGTGAATGTGACCTGCAATATAGAAGCAGTTCTATCTGTGTGAGTGTTCAACTTATCTCACCTGAGCTAAGCCATACCTAGCTTTGTTCTGACTCAATTTTGGGGTAGCTTTCTTCTCATACTTTAGTGTTTCCCAAAGCATAAGACACATTTTCACTCTGGCTGATAAAGGTTATGGCTTGTTATCTACAAGAAGCCCAAAGAAGAGGAAACTTTTGGTTTACATGTAATACAGATGTGATAACTGCAATGAATAGTAGTACTAGTAGTAGTAGAATAAGGTCACTCTAGAGGCAAATGGTGACTTAAATCACACATAATACATGTCTACTGTTGTGGCTCCAGTGGTCATTTAGATACAACAGTGTATGGATAAGACTTATCTGAGAACCAGTGCAGTGTGTTTTTTTTAAACTTTTTTAGCATTGTAAATATTACCCTTTTATATTGTAATTGTCACTGTTTTAGTACCGTTTGGCGTGAATACCGTATATACCCGAGTATAAGCCGTCCCGAATATAAGCCGAGGTACCTAATTTTAGCAAACATTTCAAGTACCCCTGGATATAGGTTTAGTACTTTTACTACCAGCAGACGTAACCATTTATAAATTATTTCCTAAAAATACACAAATTATGATGTATGTTGTGATATTATGATATGATTTATATTATAATGCTCACTAATATCCATTTTACTGTCTATTCAATGTGCTATTAGCTAATCTGCTAAACTACTCCCCTGGTGTACAAATACTACTGGTTGCAAACCTCTGGAGTAATATCCCCTTTGCACACCGTACCAATGTACTGCAGAATCCAATGGGTGCTGGAATAACAGATGGATGGTGCCACAACATATAATCTAGAAGACATGCTGTCATCTTTATATCATCTTTATTTGTATTCCTTTAGCATGACATATGAATGCATCCATATGTCATGCTGAAGGAATACGAATAAAGATGATATTCCGAAGCCGAATGGTGTGCAGACAACATATCCTCTGGAATACATGACATACAGTAAGCATCAGCTTTATAAAACCAGGGGCACAGGAAAGAAAAAATGTGTAGAAATTCAAGTGACAGGACTAGAAAGTTCACATGAAACATATAGTTGTGACACTGTCGGCAGGTTGTATTGGTTAACACATGAGCTGTATATGTGAAGAGTCTGCTTAACATGGCTAAATATATGTACACAGGGTGCACAGGGCTCCAAAAGAATAAGAGCAGCCAAAAGGCAATACAAGTAGAGCCTGAGAAATACACTGGAAAGTATTGCAGAGACACTAGACCAAGTGTTCGGGTAGCATATGATAGTCTGTTGGCACTAAAAATGCAACTGGTGAGTTAATGGCAAGAGGGCTTATTTATGGGGCAACAGTAATTACCACTGAAAGGGATCCAAGAGTATTTTTATATGCACCAAAATTGTCTGTAGAATAAGTCAACCATTGAGTACAAATTATGATTGCTTCATTACTGGTGGCAATTAGAGATGATAAAGGCCATAATGATGTGATGCGATGGCTGTTTTTGGAAAAGAAAAACATTTGACATCACTTACCCGTAAGTGTGGCTTTTGTTGTCTGGCCAGGATGACGTGGTATTCTGAGTTCATGGTACTGATCACCTGCAAGGGTGCTAAAGACAACGCGGTACCCATCTCCCTCGGCTTCGCTGTTATCCCATTCCAGTTCCAGGGTTGTTGAGGCTCTTCCCATCACACGCAGATTTTTGGGGGCATCAAGTTCTGTGCAAATAAAGGGAAAACTGTCTGCATATTTCACAGAGTGTGGTGAATATTTTGAAACACATGCTTCTAATATATTATACATTCAGCACAGAAGAGATCATACACATATCTGCAGAAAACGTAGTTTTCACCTTCACCGCCCTTTATCATTTTATTTGATACCTGGCTACAGTCAGTGAGAGCTCAGAAATATCCTCTTATGACAGTGGTAATGTCTTTTTATTTATTCTTTTGCAATAAATGATATTATTAGCTACCTTATGGGTTGCTGCTTATTAGCTACCTTATGGGTTGCTGCTTATTAGCTACCTTATGGGTTGCTGCTTATTAGCTACCTTATGGGTTGCCTGAATTCTCATTGTTGGAAGATTAGGCGTGCTCCTCAACAAGTCTTGTATATGAAATAAGGTGCAGTACAGATCTGGGATTCATAAATGCACCACGGTCACATGCAATAATAGAATTCCAGATCGTTCCTTTCAATCGGAATTTAATGTAAGTAATTCTATATAATATATAACATCATATTATGTATCATTTATTAATTTATTTGTTTTGATTGTGAGTTTAAGTGTGTGAGTGTAGATTAGCTGCCAAGATGTTTCCTCTGGTGCTGGGATTTCCATGAAGTATGCTTTCAGTACAGGATCTGCACGCTCTCGGCGCAGCATGAGGAGCGTATACAGCAGAATAAGGGTTAATTAGTGTCAGGGCTGAGTTTAGAGGTTAAATTAAATGAATTGGGAGTTCAGAGTTTTAGGAATACAGCAGATCTAAAACCAAAACCAAAAATGTATTGCAAATATACTGCAGCTTATGAGTCCTTAGAAGCTGCATTAGTTTATTATTTTTAGTTTTTTTCCCTTTAATTTCACCTGGTGATCCTGTGAATAACACACTCCCTGTTCCTTTGTGCCTGCACTTGTTTGTCTATTAAATTAATGGAGGCAACCATGGTTGTCACACAGGCTGCACTTTCAAAATGTTTGCATTTCCAATAAATGGTTTGTGGCACACTTTTGGGCGTAACAATTGGGAACAGAGTTAGATAATAAAGCAACACTGCAGTTGCCATAAAATATCCCAAAAGCAGTTCTCAGCAAAAGAAGAGGTATTATACATACATCCCCAGAGGCTTTTTCAGAGCTACAGCCTCAGAATCTTCAGCTTTCTAAGCTTCTGGGGCATAGTAGTGACATAATGATCAGTGGATGGAACTACAGCATGTGGCATTGGACACTGGAAGCTTTGAACAGAGGCTGTAAGGCTTGAAAAGTAAAGAAAGGAGACATGGGCTGTAAACACAGATTCTTCACTTGCACTCAGCTCTGGGAACCCCACCTCAATAACTAAAAGTGGACTAACAGCATGGAGAGCGCTGTGTGGATATACTATAATATATATACACCAATAAGCCATAATATTTTGACAACCCACCTAATATTCAGTAAGTCCCCCTTTTGCCACCAAGACAGCCCTGATCCATTGAGGCATGGAGTTGTTTTTCTAGCACATCCCACATACTGTATTATCAATTGCAATGAGATCTGGAGAATTTGGAGGCCAAGTAAACACCCTGAACTTGTTGTTTCCTCACACCATTCTTAAACCATTTTTGCAGTGTGGCAGGGTGCATTATCCTTCTGAAAGATACCACTGCCTTCAGGAAATACCATTTCCATGAAGGGTTGTACTTGGTCATCAACAATGTTTAAGTAGGTGTTACATGTCAAGGTAACGTCGCCATGAATTTCAGGACCCATGGTTTCCTAGCAGAACATTGCCCAAAGCATCACACTGTCTCCGCCGGCTTGCTTTCCCATAGTGCATCCTGGTTCCATCTTTTCCCCAGAAGAGTGATTCACAAGCAGCTGGCCATCCACATGACGTAAAAGAAAATGTGATTCATCATACCAGGTCACTTTCTTCTATTGGTCTATGGTCTAGTTCTGATGCTCATGTGCCCATTGTAGGTGATTTTGGCAGTGGACATGAGTCAGCATGGGCACCCTGACTGGTCTGCAGCTACACAGCCCCACTAACAACAAACTGTGATGCACTGTGTGTTCAGATACCTTTCTATCGGAACCAGTATTAACTTTTCAGCATTTTGTGCTACAGTAGCTCTTCTATAGGATAATGGTACACATCCAGCCTTCGTGTCCCACATGTATCAGTGAGCCTTGGCCACCCATGACCCTGTCACCGGTTCACCAGTTTTCCTACCTTGGATCACTTTTGGTAGGTCCTGACCACTGCAGAATGGGTACATACCACAAGAGCTGCAGTTTTGGATTTGCTCTTACCCAGTCATCTAGCCATCACAATTTGTCCCTTGTCAAAGTCATTCAAATCCTTACGCTTGCACATTTGTTTTGCTTCCAACACATCAACTTCAGGGACAAAATTTTCAGTTACTGCCTAATATATCCCACCCACTTCTAGGTGCCAATTATAACGAGAAAATCCATGGTATTCACCTCAACTCTTAGTGGTCATAATGTTATTGCTCCTCGGTGTATACTGCCCTAGTTGCAATGGCTTGTTTGTGTTCACAGCAAATAAAACAATCTTTGTGTCACGAGCAGGCTTCAGGCAAAAGACCGATGGGTAAATGTTATTTAAAAAAAAAATTTTCACTGAATATTGTGTTTTGTCTGTCGCTTTACTCTTTTAGAAATCAAATATATCAATATAATGCTCTGTCCAAGAATAACAAAATTAGGGATTAAAGGGAGTCTGTACTGGGAAATATGGAGGCTGCCAGTACTGGTTTCTCCTAAAAATATTTGCATCTAGCAGATCCAAAGGCTTTAATACTTTCTCAGTTACTGGCCCCAAACATTTATATAATGGATTTCAGACTCCTCTCTGTCTTGACTTACTGCAGGCTTCTTCTGGGTTATTGAATTATAGAAATCAAGTCAGTAATTGCAGGTTTTATGTACCTCTTAGCACAGGTTTCCTTTAAAAAAATGTCAGACTGTGAGGTCCGTGTAATGAGAAAAAATGTATTATAACAGTCAAATCTTCATTGAGTAGTAGTGTGTAGGTGAACATTAAAGTAGATATGTGAAGCAATCTTGCTAATAAAATCAGGAGCAAAATTCCAGAACATTCACATGTGTTATTGGACGAAGTCCTGCTCTCTAACTTTAAAGTATATTGCAAGCTAAAACTTTTCTTTTGAGTTTTGCATAGAGTAGGGATGGGTTAAAACTTATTTTTTCTTTTTTTTTTTTACTGCTGTCTGTGTGTCCAATGATGAGATCCACTCTCTCTATTCCTCCTGGTAACTATTTCCACTGGGACAGAAATTGATTGCAATTCTGTAACAACCAGGTTCTACAGAAAAAAAACTAGTAAAGAGAGAAAGTACACAATCCCACATAAATAAGAAAACATGCTTTTATAGGCAGCATAATGTAAATATCCACAATGACTGACAGCTTGTGGACACAATATTTGCTGTTCTTAGCATACAAAACATCCAGAGGAAGCATTCCTTTAGCAGGTTGGAGGTCAAACACATTGAGGTCCACATGGTATACGGTTTTAGAATAGACAGCAGTGCCAGGACTTAGTAATTTGTTTGAGGTGTTGAGAATGCCCAACACAGTGTACTGCTGAATGGCATCAACAGGGGAAAGCAGTGTCAAAAGAAACCCTGTCTCTTCATATTTGATAGGAGGCACCATACCTACCTACACTCCCGTTCTGGGCACCTCTTATGGGTGCAGCCAGTGGTATTTATGAAAATCACCACCATAAATAAGGCACAGGCTTCCCCAAGATGGTGCCAAAGCCCATGGAGGAGGACAAACAAGTCCATTCTTCAGGCTTCAGTTAAATGTTGGCAATGGCAGTAAACCAACTCAGCATAAAAGGAGGGTGAATCGGTGAGCACATTACCCATTCATAAGTTCCTGCACCACAAGCGAGGTCTGAAAGAGCAATGGGTGATGGACCAAAAGAGGACACCTACACCCTTACACCCCTTCTGCAAAGAGCCCATCCACCAGATGCTGGACCTGGAAAGTACATGGAAAGGGTGATAGAGGTTGCACTCGACCCCCCACCTACATACCCAGAATTTTACAGTTCTCATCGCAACACGAATTGAGAAGACATTTATCATTAGAGACAACTGTACAAGCGTAAACTGTCTACAAGGGCATTTTCTCTCACAATGGCACATTGTGGCACATACAGCAAACAGTAAAAAAAAAAAGAAGGAAAATAGCAGCGATTTTAATCATTCCATTCTCTATCCCCAAAAAAAGTTTTAGCCTTAGATATACTTAAAGGAGACCTATTGGATAACCTTTTTTTCCCATAGTTCTCTTTAGGGTCACGGGAGGACATATACTAATGTCCTCCCGTGACCCAAAACTCAGTATATAGCGGGCTATTGCCTCTATATGCTATATGCTAAGAGTGCCACACACGGGATGGATCCCAACAATACTGTTGAGATCCACCACGCTCAGTGATTGATAACGGGCTCTGCCTATATATAGGCAGAGCCAGCTATGCCCGCCCCCTCCCCTGTCCGTCCCTCCAGTCAGCACTGGAGTATCAGAGTAGGGAGGGGGGAATCCCTGCTGGGAAATGAAGTGCCACTCTCTGCAGGGAGATGATCGGGAAGCGGATCGACGGTATGTTTTTGCTCACTTCCCAATCAATAGAGCCATTGTTTCAGTGTCACAAGTCGGCTCTATGGGGATGAGTGTAATTCACTCAACCCATAGTTCTCTTTTAAAGAACTATTGGGGGTGTAACTAGAAATGACAGGGCCCATGGCAAAATTTTAAAGGGGCCCTTTCAGTGGTTAGATGTCTATAACGCACCCTTTATACACCCCTTTTTATGGTTATGGGTGGGAGCCCTTCAACACTGTAACAACTCAGATTTTGTCTTATAGGGTATAAGGCAAGGTCATTTTATCCATTCCTTATAACTGACCCACTTCATGGAAGAATCTTGTTTAACGACCCATAAAATGGTATAGCTGCATTTTGAAGTCATGTTTTAGGTAGATATGAATTATCAAGCCATTATTTACAGATAGCACCCATTTTTGTAAACAACCATAATACTTGTCTGTTGCTGAAATCATTTGAAGCTGAACTCCAGGCAAACAGCTAAATACACAGATAAAATACATACAATATATGGGAGCTATTATACTTGTCAACGGATTTGTATTTCTGTATCCCTGTCTATTTAGTCCTGAGATTTACACAGATCTGCCATGCAACACTGCGCTGTCTGGAAGAGCATGTCATCGTTCTCTGTTGCAATGTCACTTTCAGTGTCCCTCCCATGACTGGACAGTTCATCTGTCACTCTGCACTCTCCTCCTTTCAACATTTTCCATGCACTGCAACACACCCTATTGGCTCATTGTGTTGCTTTTACACTTTCCGCCTGTCTATGTCTAGCTTTAATGCTACTAAGTCACAGGCTTAGCAGCATTGGCATCACAGCCATGAAACTAGAACTTTTACAGGAAGAAGTCAGTCAGTGATAACAGCCCATGCTGTATGTTTCCAATAATTCTTATTTGATAGCATGGGATACTGATCAATTTTTTTTTATCCAATAGCTTTTAAATTACCCAAGCTTTCCTCCGCAATCTAATTACTGTATTTTGTATCTTGTGATTAAAATATGCCTTCCCTTCCAAATGGAGCCTTGAACAGATGTTTGTGTTTAAAACGGCGGTACGATTCGTCCTTCATTTTGTCTGAGAGACAAGCAATACACATTCCTTAGGTGCCATCTACCATGTGTTGTTTTTGCACTCTTATAACCTGTGTTCACAGCAGATGAATGCATGTCATATTTACAAGTTCACACGCAATGCACAAGTGGAACCCTTTAAAATACAACCAATTGACTGCTCCTCTGGCACTGGGAATATTAACATATTCAGTACAAAAATGTGATAATTACTTATGAAATTTGAGCTATGCCTTAAATTGTCTGTTTAATGCTTTGGTCTTAAGGCCTTTTTTTCAATGATTTTCAGCATCACGAAACAACAGCCAGAAAACTCTCTTGAGTAATTTAAAGCTCAGCAGGACTTATAAGCCCTGTTGTGGCACAAAGCCTGCTGCCTGACTCCGAATAGCGGTGGGCTTAAAATAAGTGGATTTGGATGTTGATGTTGTTTCAGGCCTGGACACCCTGAAACTACAAATTGATACTTCCAAGCCACATATTATGAACTTAGTGGCTCTTTTTCCAGCTGACAAAGGCTTTGCCAGCAAGTACTTTGGAACTCAGAAACTATAACCCAGGTATTTCAAGGAGACTGTATCTAAATGTGGAGAATTTATTTGCTAACCAAGATTTTCCATGGCTCACAACCTTTTTTTTTTGCATCCTTGCTTCACGAATACTGATACGCTAAGCTCAATTATAAAGTGTTTAGTATGGAGTGCATAAGGGGGTTAATGTCATTTAAATTCTAAATATGTCTTATTATAATCATTTTGAGGACACCAAACTTCCAACTGTCTTAGAGAGCATCAAAGCCACCAGTGGAATGAAGAATAGAACAACAGAGGACTTGGATCATATTTCACCAGACATTACATTATTACATGGGTAATTTGCAGGAAAATGTAAAGTTAAGATTAGCAGCATCATTTATGACAGGTGGCTTAAAATAAATCCCAGTAAATAAATTACAGTTATGACCTCCGCTCCATATTGACTCCATACTATGTCTATACACACATCAGCATTCACCGATGGTCTGGGATAAGATTTTACAAACAAACTAAAACACTATAGCTTTCCAGATCCATTATCCAATCATAACTTTAATCTAACTAGGTTTCTGTTTATCCTACTTAATGATAATGTTGGTCAGTCATCCACAGGTCCAGTTCACCAGCTTGAAAAGATTCTTACATTTGATAACATATATTATATATTTTTACTTACACATTTTTTTTTATAGTACCATATGCCTCTATAAGCTCTTCACTTTAGAAACAAATAATTATCGAAACATGAATGTGTTTTAATGGGTTTGGGAGGAGAATGCTCATTTGTTGGTTTGGGCATAGGTTAACTCAAGGGAAAACCAGGCCACAGCCTTTATACTGCCTAAGCAGCATGCTCTGGCATCAGTACTAGCTAGTTATACTAATATATTTTTGTTCGGTAAATCTTAGATTAAGTGTATTTTCAATGGGTAAGTTTGAAACATTTATTTAGAAAACATTCAATGACTCTCTTAGATTGATACCGTATTTCCTGTGTACGTTTAGAATAGAAATATTTCAGGCAAACTTAAACAGATGGTTACCTGTAGTGAAAGTTGTAGTGACAGGATCGCTGCGTGTGTCTCCACGGATACCACATACTGACACCTCATACTGTGAGCCAGGCCGCAGGACTTGCATGGAGTACTGACTCAGGGGGGGTTGTAGACGGAAAGTAGTCTTCTCCCCTTCCCCATTGATTGGCCCATACTGTAGCTGAATGAAGTCCAGTCTGGCTCTTGCAGGGGTCCATTCAACAAAGGCTACTGTGTCAGATACATCTCTGACTAAGATGTTGGAGGGACCATCAATGGCTGGAACAGAAAAGCAAAATAAGTGGCATTTTTCCAGTGTATTTTCTGTTCTAATTTAGTGTATCAGTATCCTTGATCAGGCCTTCAAACAATTTCCTATATATGGACAAAGATTCATTATAGTAGGAGTGAGAAAAGATACATCTACCGTACGGCATACGTCCTGTGCTGACCAAGTACTTAATGCACTGTCTACATAAATCTTTCCTGTATCTTCTACTATTTGTTGCTATATTAATCATTTCACTACTCTCTGTTATTGGCTGCAATAAATTAAAGCCACTCAGAGAGGTTTGTCTGTTCAGTTTTCACTTATATTTCATAGAAATCCTCAGAATTATTTCTGCTTTTATGTCTGCTTTTGATTGTGTTAGCAGCAGGTGCAACTTTAATATTAGAGAAGCAGCCTGTCTAAGGATAGAAGAACATTTTGATTTACTAACAACTACAGTATGTAGAGTAGTGGTCCCCCTGGACTCAACACATAGCATGGGGAGATCATTGGGAAGAACATAGTGGATGGAAGCATTACTGGACCAATGCATTTCCCCCGATTTGTGGATAAGAGGTACAGAGGTGAGTGTGATTGACAAAATTTGTAGATCAAAATGTTGTAAAGTTTATTTTCACAGCAAACTTGTAGTCATTTCTTCTTTGCAACACTGCACTCATCACACAAAGCATTAAAAGCAGCATAAATGCCCTGGATGCTTTAGGATGCTATGGTGGCTCCTTATTCGACTAAACATGTAGGTGTTAGGTCACATTTTCTGCTGTAGATGAGAATCAAGGTCCAGATTGGCTGCTCCCGAACTTTGGCAGAGATCACATGACCAATGGTGTAGGTATCTGGTCATACAACTTGCTGCCATGGTTTCTAAAGCGAAGGTATTTCAGGGCCTGTTCTAAATTTGTCAATCTTTTATCAACAATGGAAGATAAATGAAAGATCAACTTCCATAACTGTTATTTAGCCAAATGTCTAATCCAGCAAAACAAGCTATATCTATGTAGAAGGAACAGTGTTTAGGCTTCATAGGTTTGTACAAGGCTTCAATTATGTAATTCTAACCTTGGTCAGCAAAAATTTGTTCTTACCAGTTGATACGCTTCCGGAAGTTGGGGGACTCCTGGCAGGCTCTTTCAGTGAAATTATGCTGATGGTGTACTCCTCTCCGGGCTTTAGTCCTGTCTGATTATAGGATGTGACAATGCTGGGGAGCTGAACAGTCAGCCCACCTTCGTTATTCTGTCATTGGAAGAAAGTTATATATTAGGTAGTTTTGCTATTTATAAACAGAATTATACAAGAGACAGTGGAATGCAGTATACGGTTGAAGTGATAAACATGTACAAGACTTGCTCAAGGTTAAGGCTACTGAAGCAACCTCCATGCCACCCATGATTTAAAGGCCTATATAACAACATCGTGAAATTAGAATGATCACCTCCAAGCTTGCCATTTGTGAATTACAGCTTGTTCCTTTCATGCTTAAATTTCAGTTTTCCAGAAGATTCCACAACCTACAGTGAAAGCCTTTCAAAAACTATTCACTTACTATTGGGCAAACATTGGTGGGTTTGATTATTTGTAGACTTCTTATAACAGATGCAGATCCTAGCAGGGAAATATCACACCAGTTTTACACCTGCCTCCCTCACCATACCAACCCTTGCCCAGGCTGCATGAAAAGATGATGTGACCATACTCTGTTAGTTGGATTCTTGATGGGATCAAATAGAGCAACCAGAGTTGTGAAAACTGTATATACAGTAGTATGACTAAAGCCTAAAATATCACATCTATTATTTATATAGCTAGTCCGTGAAGCTTTTACTATATGGTCATGTTGATTAATAGGAATTTGCCTAGACCTAGATCTAAAACTATGTTGATTTATGAGAGTCTATTTCTGTATACATTTTTAGCATAAAAGATTGCGTGGAACAATAGGCCTCTTCAGTTTCAAGGCAATTGTAACATTTTGTATAGGAAGGGGAAAATGTTACATTAATATTTGCTTAATGCATTAGTGGCCTTCTTTCACAATGTTTTTACTGAGATGTCAAAGTTTAGATTAACGGTAACATTCAGATAGAATATTCTAGGAATCAAATTAGGATTTGTAAAATAATGCACGGGGGCCAGGGGGAAGAGGTACAGAGGGGAGGGTATGAGGAAGGGAGAGGGGTGGGGCATTCAAGAACTTTGCCCACATCTTTAAAATAACAACAAACACACCATTAGAAATGTTTAGTAATGACAATCTACTAACATACTTCTAGATAATTGTCGGCTTTGTATTCTTTGCATACCTTATTTCTCTTTTCTTCCCCAGTCTTCTGACAGTGGCCATGTTAACTAAGGGCAGGTTACTAGATCACCACATACTCCTTTTACAGTGAAAATCCCTTTGCCTGAGATCTCATGAGATTAAAGATGAGATTTTCCAGAAATGCTCTGCTGATGTAACCTTCCCAGGATGCAATGCTTTGGCACATTACATCGTTTGTAATTCATTACAAATGACATAATTTGCCAGAAGTGGACCAGGAAGTAGATGAACCCTATTTGTAAGTAAATGAAAAACAAGTTTGTTTAACTAATGAATGTAAGTTAATTTTCTATCAGCATGCAGAGTTGCATGCTGATGTGATTTTTAGTAAAAGGGGGTAAAGGTCCACTTTAAGGAAAGTATTTGGAAGTGTGCATTGGCTTGTAAACCTTGTATGGATATATGCTGTGCAAACATTAGGCATAGGTGGATATGTAGATAATGGAACCTTAAGTCTTCATGCACATGGGTGCTTGGGGGCTGTACATGTTTGCTGCTGTCACTATTTGGCCTAAAAGTTTCCATCTGGCTCCTTCAAATTCCTAATCAAAGAATGCTGGAAGGGTGTTGACTGGGGCATTCACTCTGCGAATTTTGGGCGGTCCTTTAGGAATTAAAGGTAAGGTATTCTAGGTTTATTTGTGCTTTAAGGTACAAGCTTATCTTTATATCATTTTTATTTTATTTTTTAAATTTCTATGGGGAACCAGATATACCCATGAAGCACCCATGTGTTCTAAACAAAATGGCCACTGAAACCACACTATACCTATTATAACTGGCGTTCGTGTATAGTGAATCTCACTGTTACATTTTTGACTAAGTATATAAATAAAAAAAAACTTGATTTGCTTTGATATATATTAGCATCTAGAGTGCTAGACTGTACACTGTATACCCCTTCATTACAGGGACATTTTCTCCTTTCCAGTGCTGTGACAGTTTGACTGACAATTACTCGGTCATGCAACATTGTACCCAAAATTAATTTTTATAGCACTTTTTATTATACAATAGAAAGAGACCGAAATCTTTAAAAAAACAAAAACTTGTTTCCCTTATTTGTTATGAAGCATATTGAACAAAAAAAACTCTAGAAGAGCAGAAACATCCCCAAAGTGATCCTTTTTGCAAATAAGTATTTTGCTACAATTTTTAAAGAAACATGCTGGTATTGTGGTGGTTAAAACATGGAGCTTGGTAACGGGCCACTAGGTACAGTGCATATTTAAATGTATAGTCATACACAGAGGGAGGAGGGGGGGCGAAGGGGTTAATCTACATATCGCATACAGTGAAAGGATGGAGAAGAGGGGTTAATGTACTGGATAGGGGTGGGGAAATTACTATGCGAGTCAGAGAGTGGACAAAGCTCAAATGTACAGGTCACACTCAGAGGAGGGGAAGGGGAATGGATAAAAAATATTACACAATCAAATTAATTAAAACCTCCCACCTGCTGCTGCCCACAATTCCCTCCTTCATTTATTCACTGAATCCTCCTTCTACCCTCTATTCCTCTCAGGACTGAGTAAGGGGAGGGCTTTCAAATGTAAACAGTAGTAGTGTACTGTTTACATTTGTAATTGCTGTGATTGGCCATCACAGTGATCACAAGGATCACTGACATTTCTGGTTGGCGCTGTGCATTTTGCCTGTGATCTGGACTGTATAGTGATAGCTTGATCACGGGCATTCAAAGGATGCACTGGCTGCCTCTGTCTGTTTTCTGCAGCACCGTTTTTAAACAGGATTTTAGAAATAAGAATCATCCTTGTCACCAATGTGCACCAGCAAAAATGTGTTTCGTTTCGTTTTGATTCGGATTTTGCATATTTAGTTTTTCGGATTCTGGTACGCAATTGAATTCGTTGCGGGATTCGGACAAAATTCGTTAGCAGTAGTCGTTTTTCGTATTCGGGTACGCAATTGATTTGGATTCGGCCGAAATTCGTTAGCGGTAGTCCGGTCGAAATTTCGTTTATTGGCCGAATTGGCCGCAAAGTGACATTAGAATTTTTTTTTTTTACAGTCTGCAGAAGATGGGGAAAAAAGCGTGAGGTTCCCCCCAATTCATACCAGACCCTTTAGGTCTGGTAGGAATGTTAGGAGGGACCCCCCAAGGTAAAACAAAAAAAAGTGCGTGGAGTTCCCCAAAAACCCATACCAGACCCTTTAGGTCGAGTAGGAATTTTAAGGGGGAACCCCAGCCCAAAAAAATGGGGGGAAAAAACGTGGGGTCCCCCCTAACAGTCCAACCAGACCCTTGATCCGAGCACTGGCCCAGCAGGGCAAGAAAGGGGGGTGGCGATCGAGCGGCCCCCCCTCCCTGCGCCTTACCAGGCCACGTGCCCTCGGCATTGGGAGCGTGTCCCCGTGCCGATGGGGACAGGGGCCTCTTCCTCACAACCCTGACCCGGATTTTGGGGGGAACCCCACGCACTTTTTTTTGTTTTAACTTGGGGAGGGGTCCCTCCTAACATTCCTACCAGACCTAAAGGGTCTGGTATGAATTGGGGGGAACCTCCCGCTTTTTTTTTTTTTTTCTGCAGACTAAACAAAAAAAAAAGAAAAAAATATATTTTTTTCTAATGTCACTTTGCTGCAACGAAATTTTGTCCAATAAACAAAATTTCGACCGGACTACCGCTAATTAATTTTGGGAAATCGGGAATTCGGATTCGTTTGCATTCGTTTTAGCTGTAATTCGGAATTCGGATGCATCCGAATCTCCGAATTTCCGATATTTCGTCCGAATTTCGATTCGTTTGTATTCGTTTTAGCTGTATTTCGGGTGCATCCGAATCTCCGAATTTCTGAAAATTCGTCCGAAAAAACAAGGTGACATGTCTAGTCAACTTGTTTTTTTACTGTAATGTAGATATATTGTATATGTTACTACATTGAGGTAAGCAGTTTAGGAGTGTTAAAAGTGCCTTTATATTTGATAAGCGAACCAATGACTACTCTGTGTATGTTTTTTTGTAAACTTACTGTAATATGTAATATGTGATGATGTGTGATTTTATTTCTGCAAACCGTGCATGCCAATCCATTCTATAACCTGAGAGCGGTAACTGGAGTTCCTTTTCTGCCTGTTCTTTTCTGCCTGTTGCTTACAGAACATCTGCAGATTATACCAGGAATGATCAGTCACCTCTCTGCTGACATAATTGAGAGCTTAATATCCCGCCATGTATCAGCTCTACGTAGAGCCCAGGAAAACGGCAACACAAGCTCCTTATCTTGCCTCCATCCTCTATATTTTCCATTATTGCTGATGGCTTCTCCATCCAGCTGGTCAGCGAAGCATGCAGCTTATGAGCATCCAGTGACATCAAATCATTCACCTGAACGTGACAATTCTTTCACAGTAGCAAACAAAGGCTTGATCTATTCCATCCTTGTCCGAGGTTCCCTGTCTGGAGGAGAGGTGATCTTTCGCCCACACACTCCTCATCCCATCAAACGCCATTGATAACCACTTCTAAAAAGATCTTTTCTTTCTCATCAGAGGCAACTGACACAAGCTCAATCACACATGTCATGACTTTCAAAGATCTTTTTAAGCCTTGTCACATGGAGGCAGACAAGGACACAGCCTTCCGCTGTAACCAGAAGATGAACAGAAAACAGCTCTTTAGACAGGTGAAAAGAACTCAAATAACATTTGGCCTTAGCCCAGTTTAACAGCTCTGCAACTCCTGCCACTGAGGGACATCTGGGGTTGTGTTAAGCAGGAATTTATCAGCACTTAAAATTTCTGCCACTGACAGGCCATTAGCACCAGTTTGTATTTAGTGTAATGAAGTAGCGAAGGGAGAAAAAAAAAGTCTTTACTGGAAACAAAATGACTTACAAAATGTTTATTGCTTACATTAATTTTATGGAGCGTGGCTGTAAAAAAAATTATCTTAGGGGAAATTAAGCCTAAAAAGTGTCATATCGCCAGTCAGGGAGTGCAATGATCTCCTGGCTGAGGTAACACAACACTATAAAGAAAGATGACAGCTACGTTTTTAATCAGCGTGTGAAGCAACTCCGCTGAATATGAAGTAAGATGAGTTCACGGGGCTGAAAAAAAACATAGAAATCACTTTTGCTTTTGGAAATTTGTGCTGCCATTGCTGAGTAATTAATAGCAGCTCATTAGTTCTGGCACTTTGTGTTTAAACATTCAACACAGTAAAGCTGCCCATACATCTTATGAATACCGGCGATCGCGTTTTCTTCCGATATTCGTAAGGTTGATGGGCAACCGCAAATACTGTACAATGGATTGACTTTTGACTAGCCAGCAGGTTAGAAAACTTCAGTCAATCGTACGATTTTCGCAAGGTTGGTGGCGTTTCCATACGTCAAAATTCGGACGCTTTACACTGCACACGTGCAGACCAAAATATGTGCGGTCGATTACCGCAATGCGCCCAGGTGCTTTCTTTTAATTACCGCTGATCCAGCGCTGATCCAGGATGGGACCGCCGTACGAAAATGAAAAAAGTTTCGTCCGATGATCACAAGGTGTATGGGCAGCTTAAGAGAAAACAACTATAGTCAAGAGTTCCTGACAATGTGTAGGGATGCTGCAGGCTCATGTCAAACAGTTGATCAGGGATGCACTAGCTGCAGAATACCGGTCAGTCAGCACCAACCATGTATTGGAAATGTTAGTTAATTCCTAATTAATCCAGATTCTGATGAATTAATACATTGTAGTGATTCTACATATGACATGAGCTGAACAACATTTGTGCATGTTAAAATAGAACTATGCCTTCCCATTAAAAACAGCATGTGCTGCAGCACTAAATTATAAGAGCATCTACACTTACAGTTTTCTCTTAACCCTCCTGCAAAGTCCCACAAATACATGCCAATGAAATCCAGTCAGCTTTCTGTGAGGGTGTCTCAATGTTTAGAAATAAAAAGCACCAAAAACCCAAAGGTGAAAGGAGTTCAAAACTGCCTTTAATTGTTTACAGAGACTGGACTTAAAGGAGAACTATGAAGTGAGTGCTTTTCACTCACCTCATAGTTCTAGCCGACCTGTGACAATGAGACTGTCACAGGTCGGCTCAGTAGATTGGGAAGTGAGCGAACACATACCAGCGTTCGCTCACCTCTCGATCCTGTCATGACTCTCTGCCGTGACAGGGGAGGGGCTGGATTCCCCTCTCCCCTCCATTCCTCCAGCGCTGACTGGCGGATCGGACGGGGGAGGGGGCGGGTACAGCTGGCTCTGCCTCTAGATAGGCAGAGCCAGCTGTCAGTCACGCAGCTGGGCGGATCCAGACATAATTGTCGGGATCCGCTTCAGCTGCGGCATCTCAGTATACCGCGAGCTGTAGCTCGTGGCATACTGAGCTTGGGGCGACAGGAGGATGCTAGTTTGTGTCCTCCCGTTACCGCAAGGAGAACTATGGGGAAAAGCTACTATAACCAAATATGAATCGCTATATGACTTGATAAAAAGACATCCTTTAGGGCTGGAATTGTAATTGACAACAGCAGCTGTGATGGTGTGGCAGCAATGCTGCACTGATCCTGAATTCCAAGCTGCCAAAGCCATGTAGGCTTTATCTGCTTTCACTACAGTGGAATAAAAAAATGTTGCATGGGTGTGGCTATCAGCAATGCCACTGCTGATTCACAAGCCTGTAGCTTGTCAATCATTGTCAATCATCACCTGGACATATGTAGACCTGCCCTTTGCTTTCGGAGGGAGAGAGCTCCAGTTTCTGGAAGGGGCGGGGGAGGGCATGAGAGATACAAATGAAGGAGGATTTGGCTCAGTCATGAAGGTTTCTTCTTTTTATCTTTATGAGGCTTGTGCATCACATAGTAACTGGATTGGGCACTTGGTTAGACTGTCATACAGGAGAATTTAGTTGTACTTAAGTTAAAAAAGGGATTTCTCTATTTCAAAGTTACATAGAGTAGTATAATCATCATACCTTAAGCCCAGTCAAAAATCACTGAAATTACATATTTCAGTTGGTCACGCTTGCTTAAGCGGCAGTACAAAAAAAAGTGGAGAAACTCTGAGGTGACTGTACTATTAAACATCAACAGGAGCCTTGAAACCCTAAGTGCACTAATAAGCATATGAAGGAAAGGAAGTGCTAGTACTAAGCCGAAGCCATCTGATGAAAGAGGTTTGTTCTCAGAAACGCGTCAACTGAAGGAGCGTCAGCGTACAGATGGCTTCGGCTTAGTACTAGCACTTCCTTTCCCTCACCCTATTTTCGTGTATTCATCTTGATGGTCTCCTAAGATTATATCGCTTTCTGCTCGTTTATACAAGCTGGTTTGTAAGTACCTTTTCAGCTGTGTGTTTTATCCTTAATAAATCAATTTTAAAGGAAATTTTACACAATTTTACAAAAAGCTCCTTTTGCTTTGTCCTCATTAAATATTAAAATGTTTGCTGGAGTCTCTTTTTATGTTTTGTAAGACATGTCTAAACAAAATGTAGGTGTGGGTGAGATGTGTAACTCCATCAGGGTGCTATGTTGACTTGAGAATGGTGTAAAAAGCCCATCTTAAGATGAAAATTCGCATAGTTTACACTATGTACACCAAGTTACAGACTTGTTTCTTATTTTGCAAAATGAAATTGTAATAAAGTCATGCTTTGCATACATTAATTCTGTCGGGCACATACCTTGGATATACCAAAGTACCCAATCAGATGGATCTTCTAGCACCGTGTACAGTATAATCTGGCAAACCATGCTTGGTATAGTGAATAGGAAGTAGCATTGTGAGCTGCATGTCAACACTATGTTGCTATTTTATAATATGCACAAAAAAGACATATCCGATGTACAGTGGATAGGGTGTGAAGCAGTTGTTAACGTACCTTTGGGGTAAAACTAATTTCCCAGCCATCAATAGAGAACAAAGGGGGCTCCCACTGCACCTCCACCGAGGTCTGAGTCACATTTTTAAACTGCAGTCCTTTGGGTGGAGAAATATCTAAAACATACAATAAGAATGATAATAGATGATTATCAAAAAACAACATAAACAGGTGAATTTTGAGGTGGCACAAGCAAAATATGTGTCAGTAAAGAGGTTAGTATTGAAAATTAGGTCCTTTCTTCCTTTATGGATTTTCCTGAAACAGTTTAAAGACACACAGATTATAAAGGATTACCCATCAAAGATGGATTTTGAGGATTAATCAAAGAAGGACTTGTGATTTTCTATGATCTCTATTTTTGCTTCATTAGTCAAGGCAGCTCCAATGCCATCTAAAGCTCATCTTTTTGTTGCCCAACCCTAACCCACATTCAAAAAAGCCAGCTACATTCTCTGGTGCTATTTCCTCTAACATGAAGAACTGTATTCAAGGTACCCACAAAAGATTGCTGTCAGCTATTCTACATATCAGGAGTAACTGCATTCTGTCTGTGTGTGTTGATGGCTTTAGACCAAGAACATTGTTTGAGGGTAAGGCCCCATTCACACCAAGTGGACATCGCTTTTGCGCATTTTTATACGCAGTTTCAGGGTTCGGTCTTTGCATGTTTATGCGTGTTTGGCACATTTTTACAGGTGCGAAAATGTTGAACATTGTGGACAATGGACGAACGCATGTACAAACATGCAGAAAAGGGCAAAGAAATGTGCAACATGCTTCAGCTGCGTGTTTCCTGGCATTTCCATTGACGTCTATGGGGGAAAAATTATCTTGAATCTGCCAATAAAACCTCCTGTACTTTTTTCTGCATTTGGCATTATGCTGCTGGTGTTTTGCTGTGGAGATGTGAACAGGGGCCATTGAAAATCATGGGATTTCTTGTGATGGGCACGTAGGTGTGAACCAGGCCTTAAGAGGTACTGTAAAAATCCTGTCTCATGCAACCCAGAGCAATGTATCACCTACGCCAATACCTATAATTGTGGGTACTGGTTGCCTTTTAGAATGGCTGGATGAAAGTGTGGATGTCTGTCTCCAGCCTTTGGTGTCTCACTATGTGGCGAACATTAAATATACTATATCTGTCCTCTTTCAGCTTACAAGTCACATGTCTTGGGAGCATGCCTTTTTCTACACTGTCCTGGATGTTAAAGCTCTCCATTTCTCAATTCCGCATGATTTGGCACATTGCTGCCCTTAGATGTAACCTTTGCACATAAAGTGCCGAGGTTTTTGCTGTTGGCTGTGGAAGTTTTTATAAACTCAAAATATTTTTTTATTTGATAACATTTGGTATCTTTAGAGATGTGGAGCTTTGATGGTGGCAAAGTTTTTGCCATCACTTGCCAACCTCCACATTGGTTGATGGGAGGAGTTCCACATGTGAACCCTTTTGTACTCATATCTTTCAGTTTGGTCACTATATTGATAGCCTGCTCCTTATTTGGAGGGATCCATCTCACATGGTAAATAATTTTGTGTCCACCAAAATAATTTTTGTAGACCTCCTCATTGCTTGGTGGTGCCAAGGATCATTTCAGTTACTTTCGGCAAGCCGTCAGCTGGAATTCTACTCACGGAGCAACCAGTTGCCAATCTTCCCAATCTCTAAAGGCCATCCCAGTTCAGACATTTGTTAGAGCTAGATGGAATTGCGTTATAATGGAGGTCCTTGAGAAGGAGTCTAACACACCTCTATGATAGGGGATATTGGTTTGGAGAAAGGACTGTTGCTGTACACGCACAGAGTGGAGCGTGGGCCGGAGGTAGGGTCAGGCCGTCTGTCCTTTTATTGGTTTGTACCACCTAAGCCAATATTATTTAGCTCGCCTTATGTCAGGAATGGCTCTGATAGACATCTATGCTTTCTATGTGACTCTAACTCCAGCTTTTAAGTAAAGAAAGAAAAGAAAACGGACAATGGCAATGTAGTTTAGTCCTATTATCATTTATCAATGTATTCAATCTCAGCAATCATTAATTTTATTCTCTGATTGTTATTTTGCAGTGCCAATTTGAACCTGTTATCACAGAAAGGAGCATTTTTAATTTGAGACATCCTAATGAACAGAGCCGATTTTACCTTATTTAAAAAACAAAAACAAGAAAGGCAGAGCTGATGTTACATCAACCAGCTCAGTTCAGGTTGTCATTGTGTTCTAGTGCATGTTATTATGGGAAAACTAACTGATTTGCTGCTCTGTTTATTCCCCCAGATTTAGCATTATATAGATGAGTCCCACTGACACTGAAAATACAGTATGTTGTAAAGATACTGCAGTTGTACTATAATCAGAATTGATTATTTGAATACAGCTGAACTATGATTATCTCTCCTTATGGAGTCAGAGTAAAGTTAGATAATTGAAAACACAAAGGATTAAAGTTATTGTTAATGTAGGAAGAATTACAAGGCCAAGAATTCCACTGTATTATATTATCTGACAGACTGGATGTTCACAAGGAAAAATATTGTGTACAAATAATAAAGAGAGTGGTTATATGGATCACAAATAATGAGCGCTCCTGTGTAATTCCACATTACAAGAACATTGTGTATAAGGTTGTTAATATCAAAGTAGGAGGCATGTCAAGCACAAATAAATACAATACTGTATAACAGCAGTTGATATAACAATGATTATAAGACTAACAACAGCTATTATTATTATTATTACCACCACCATCATCATCAATAACATTCTGATTAAAACAAGGTGAATAATGTCTTACCATGTATGTTGAGCTAAAAACTTTTTTTAAACTTTGAACAAAGTGGGAAAGTACAAAAAAGAAGGGCGCCCACCCTAGTGCAGATTGTTTTTAATATGAAAAAGCTGCAAGACAAAGTAAAAACATACTCACAATAGTGAATCAAAAAAGGCTTTCAAACAAACCATGGAACATCAGTAAGAGGCTGCACAGTCAACCTGTGTGCCAGCACAGGATGACTTTGTTTATGCGTTTACTTGGCCACGCCCCCTTCGCCAGACGTTTACGCGTTTCCAGGGTCACGCCCCCTTCCTCCGATGAAGGGGGCGTGACCCCGGAAACGCGTAAACGAAGGCATCCTGTGCTGGCACACAGGTTGACTGTGCAGCCTCTTACTGATGTTCCATGCTTTGTTTGAAAGCCTTTTTTCGATTCACTATTGTGAGTATGTTTTTACTTTGTCTTGCAGCTTTTTCATATTAAAAACAATCTGCACTAGGGTGGGCGCCCTTCTTTTTTGTTTTTTCCCATAGTGTTACAGCTCCCCTGGCTGAAGTGGGGCAGCACCCCTAGCAATCCTCGCATATATACTTTTCAGTTGGTGGTCTCAGTTTGGCGCTTTTGATTTGTAAAAGTGGGAAAGTAGTTGTACTTCGGTTGGGATTTTACTGATCTGGGGCTCCGTTAGATAGATTTCCCCTCACTTCCTTCCTGCTGACAACAGTTTCACCAGACAGGAAGTGAGGGAAAATCTACAACTGGGACACAGACAAGTGAAAATCTGACAGGGGTTCTAACCTTTCCTCACTATCCCAAACACTAGGAAAAAAAAGGTTTTGGCTTGACGTACACTTCAAAGCTCGGCTCCAGCCGTACCTTGGGTCTTGGACAGTTGTAAGGCCTCCTCACCTGCACTGGAATTGTGTGATTTCACTGCACACTGTTAGCTTCTCACTGGATGACGTCCAGCATCATCTAGCCTCCCCAGCCTTACTGTCCTGTATCATTTATTGGCTCAGCATTACATGTGGGCATTGACAAAGGCAGTCTACATGCAAATGCAGCCTGTCTAGGAGCTCACACTACTTCAGAAAGAAATCCACCCATCAAGGCATTGATATTTGCATAACTCAACCAAAGAGCCAGCCCACTGCTTGCATCAGGGCTGAGAGCTCTTTGAAAGAAATACTGAGCATCCTGCTGGCCCCTCCCACCTGTCATCTGCTGGCATTGAAAAGAGAAGCACAAGGACCCAGCGATGAGATTGCAGGGTCTAAAATAAGGTATGTAATGAAAAGGGAAACATTTTATTTAAAAATGTAATTAGCAAAGTATCCATATCATATATTATATATATAAAAGACTGCTGGTACCCAACATTGAGAGCTATTGCAGTAACTAGGGACATAACAAAAATGTAAAAGGCAACTAAGGCTAAAGCCTTTGTTCTCTTAAAAGTAAATATTGAAATAAAGTTTCCCCAAATGTAGTGTAATACCTTGAGTGGGTATTAGAATACCAAACATGTGTAGACTATTAGGGTTTTTGTGTGGGTCTACAGGTACAAATTACATGTTATATGTATGTATATGTGTGTTACATGTGTAAAATGTATGTCTCTTCTTTTTGTTTTATTTACCCTTGCTTTCTTTTACACTTACTGTCACAAGGTAGGGATTCTCCCTTCATAAAGCTTTATCTCTCTCTGAGAGGCCCAAAAGTAATCAGAAGCGCACTGCTGCTCTATGTCCTCACCCGTTCTCTGCCAAAATGTCTGCTCTCTGGCAGTAAAATAAAACATTAGGGGTCTAAATGGACATAACAGACCAGAGATCGGAGCCTCCATCTGTTCTCTCCATTGTCAACAATGATTGCAAACTTGGAAGTACTGAGCACCGAGCACTCCTATTCACAATGTGCCAATGGCTCCCATGTGAATGGGACACCACTGTGAACACCACTAGCAGATGTCAGATTACATCCATATTTCTAGCAGAGTTGGTGTAGATATGAAGCTTGAGCAGCAAACATGCGCTTGTATTAAGTCACAACAACGTCACTGGTAATTTACACAGAAAAAAAAATTCAAAATACATTCGCACAGAATGCTCGTTCACAGATATTTACAGGGCGAAGGGCCCTGCAGATAGTTTATAAATAGACCCCTGTGTGTCAATGACACAGCATATGAGGAGAAATCCTCAAACGAGGGCACAGACAACAATTACAACGTAACAGAGGTTGTAACCCTTCCCCACTCTAATAATAAAGGTGCTTATGTGTCTCCAATAAAAAAGCCCCCCCCGTGCTGGGGGGGGGGGAGATAAAGTGAAGGCACATCCCTCCAATAGAGACAGTAAAGTTGGGCATAGACAGCTTGAATTTTGGCAAATTCCTGCTGAATTCACTGAAATTTGAGCTGTGGGTGGCCATGTCACCACCACCCGACTTGACAGAATTTGATTTTAAAATCAACTGAGCTGGGTTAAAAATTATTGGCTGAGCAGTGAATGCATTCTATCAGATTTACATTTTTCAATGTAATAGTGGAGATTTCTTCATCCATTCTATGGCCATCTAAGCTGTCTATGACCAGCTTAATACAAACCTGACCTATACTTCCCCACTCTGTCTAAAACTACTAAAAAATAAAGTTTTGGCTGACATTGGGCTTTTAGCAGCAAGTCCATCTGCAGCTGCTCTTTCATTTTTTTGTAGATATAATCTTTTAGCCCCTTTTATCTCTCAGGAACTCGGTTGGTAAGAGTTCTCTGCTACAGTTCTTTTCTGTAATGGCAAATCAAAGAACAAATGGAAAATTTAGAGAAGATATCCTCACAGTAAGTGGTTGGAGCTGGGAATTCAAGTACAGATAATTGGCTGCTAAGTCCCTGACATATCTCTGAAACTATCTGTCCAACATTTGCCTAAAAAAATTTAATATAATTCTAGCATGGATTGGATGTTTAAAGGTAAACTCTAGGCAGGTATAAATGACACAAATGAATAACACTCTGCAATCATTAAATGTATTTTTTTACATTTTTGTAATGCAAGCAGAGTAAGTGCCTGAGTTTGATCTGCTATTACTGGAGTGTGAGAGGAGGAAGCAGTACAAAGAGCCAATCAGTTCATGTGCTGACAAGCATGATGATAGGAAGGGAAAGAGTGACAGAGAGATGAGCTCATCGCTGTGCTGCTTCTCCGTTCACTGTCCAGTCAAAGGCTGGGGCAGGTCTAGGATGGCCTGGGTTTAGATAAAGTGGGTTGAATGTTAGCCATCAAACTAAGGACATCTCATCGCAGAAAAAAAAGTACTGCAGGTGAAATATCTAAATTGAGACTGACACGGTTAGTCACAAAAGGGTGAAGAGTTTGGAGAAGGCAGGAGAAGTGAACAATCTAGGACAACATAGCTGATTTGGAAAAATTCTCCAATTCAGCTCACTTTCCAGTTCAGCTATGTCCTAGATTGTTCACTTCTCCTGCCTTCTCCAAACTCTTCACCCTTTTGTGAATACGGTAACCCTGTGAATATTGCAGCAAAAGCTGTTTTTTTATGTTAATCTTTAATGGGCTATTCATGTTTTTTTTATTATAAAACACACGTATTGCTAATTAAGGAAACTCACGAGTGGACATAGTGATGCTGGCAGGTTCGCTGGTGATGTCACTGATGACAGAGCAGACACTGATATTGTAGGTTGTTCCAGGCTCCAGTTCTCTGATGGTGACAGCACTCCAATCTCCAGGGACCCTTTGCTGTAACCGCTGCTGAGTTCCCCACTCTACTGGCACTGCAGGCTGGTATGAAATGACATACTCTGTCACAGCAGACGTTCCTTGCCATGTCAGGTCCATCCAGTGATCTCCAACAGCAGTCACTGTGAAATCCACAGGCGGGGCAACTAGAGGGAATAAGTAATGAAAAAATGGCTGAAGTTTAATTTGCATTTTTAATAGCACATATATTCTTGTTAATGCAAGGTAACAGATGCATGATCCTAACACCAGGTGATTTTTATAGAAAGATATGGAACTGAGCTGACTGCATCAGAAACAGGTCTATTCACCAAAGGGTGAAGTGTTTGGACAAGGCAGAAGAAGTAAAAAATCTAGGCCAAAATAGCTTATTTGGAAAAATTATTCAATTCAGATACTTTTCCAGTTCAGCTATGTTGTCCTAGACCTAGACTGTTCACTTTTCCTGCCTTCTCCAAACTCTTTACCCTTTATTGAATACCCCTGAAAGTCTTTTTTATGAACAAAGTGGGAACAGAAGTGGAAGAAGTGTAGCCATTCCTAATGAACCGGTCAGGCTCCATCTCTCCTTAAAACAAGGAATTTGCTATAAACTTGCATCGGTTTATATAAATTACCCTAGTGTTTTCAAATACTGTCACCAAGCATCTCTAAAGCATGTGGATGCCTTGTGACTGTTAAAGATGAACATGAATTATGTTGCAAATTACCATTCATTCATGCCAACCCATTTTCCTTGTACATTTTTTTCTTAATAAAAACAAGCCTAAGGTCATGCAGCTCATTCTTTATTAAAGAAATGTGTATATTCTACATTTCCTTCTACTATATACCAACCTTGGTACTGCAATGCTGCATGAGTAATCTACCAGGCATCCTGAGCAATTCTGAACCCATTGGTGCTATAGCGGAGCAGTCCACACCATATGCCAAAATCTCCTTCCTTTTTGGAGATACCAGCTCCCGGTTGCTGCTACATGAAATAAGGCATCCATGGCTTTTATCTGGATGTGCATCTCCTATTTTCCAGTCCAATATATCTTATTTAAAATGCTACACATACTTGTTTGCCAGCATCACATCATTTTTTTTAATTTAATTGTAGGAAACCAGTAAAGAAGGTTCTTTTGTGATCACTATGATTTTATACTATGGAGAATAGACCAGAACCAACTGTGCAGATATATACCCGTACAATAGCATCAATACCCTACTGCTGTTTTACTCGAGTCAAAATTACTAATATTTTAAGTCCATTCTGCTGAATTGTCATGCATTTCAGTAGTTCTTATAATATGGAAAAAAGTGGATGGTGCTGCAGAGTTTTATAAAAGATGGTGAGACTGAAGCGTGCTGGACAGGTTTTGGAAAGGATCCCTGATATCATAATCTACCAATATTGCCCATGAGCAAACGGTGTTGAGGATCCATTTTATTATCACAATATAACATTTTTTTGCACGTCTGGTTGTGTTGCAGAGTCACCCGGGAGACTGTGTGGATTTTACTTTAGGTCCGTTGCAAAGAGAAAAAGACATGTTTCCACTGCTGTGCTGAAAAACACTGAGCCTGACAGGTCATCTATTCCAATTCTCTTCACAAAATAAGAAATTAAGCATTTGTTGGGTTTCTTTTAAATGTTACTAATTAATACACATGTGCTGCTTCCAGTGTGGAGGAAATGGATTTTGAAGCAGATGAGTTTTGGATACAATAAGATAATGCATTGTTAAATGCATTGTTAAAAATATTTGGAGGTTTATAAAGCCATTTGCATAAATTTTGTCACTGTATTTTTATATCTATTTCAGTATAATCTAGATAAGTCTTGCAAGGTGATTTACTTTAACTAAAATCTGCTGTCAAGTATAAAGTATAGGCCCCTGGGGGTGCATGCACATACATGAAGCTGTTTGTTGATTAGTTGTTATGCATCCCCAGACCTTTGTGATTAATCTAGTACTTTAGGGCCCCATACATCCCTATTGATTCATCACTATAATGGGCTGCCTCCCATTTCTCATAAATTTCTGTGTAGGCCAACCCCTATGATGGACTGCCTCAGTGGTCAACAGGAATGTGTGAGAAGTGGGAGGGGTTGGGCAAGCTTGGACACTACCGGGAAGTACCAAAACTTTGCCTGTTCAACCCAGGCTGGCATTCAGGCAGGAGAGTGAAAGCTACTGAATGGAAGTGCCTGAACTTTATATCCATCAGCAGCTTTTGCATGTTAAATGTAGCCCTGCAACTGCAGTGGCTCAGCAACTGAAGTGGTTAGCGCTTCTGCCTTGCAGCATTGAGGTTGCTTCAAAACATGCTGGAGGGTAAACTGGCCTCAGTATGTATGTGCATATGAGATAGATTGTATGCTCCTTGAGGGTACGGACTGATGTCAATGAATAGTATGTAAAGCACTGCGCAAATTGACAGTACTATATTAATACCTGCGCTAAATAATAATTGCAACAAAACAGGCACATTCTGTTTTCTTTGTGACATCTGATGTAAGCTCTGACTGTGTTATTGCAGGCCTATGTATCCATCCCCCTTCTCTGGCAGATCAGGTTGATCAATTTCATAAGGTGACCAATATTAATATTGACTTAGAAATAACTCTAGTTCTTGGGCATAAGATGAAAATATAGTTGGCAAAATTCCTGGAAAATTTGGGAGGACACATTTAACACATTTTGCACAAAGGACATTTAAAAAAAACAAAAAACAACTGTATGCCACAATGGACAAAACGAGTTTAAAAAAAAAGACAAAACATAAAAATTCCCCTGGGCCTAGAAAAAATAATTTACCCAGTTGGGTGTAAACCTGAAGATCTGCTTAAAAATAGCTTTATCATGAGTTTTCCTTGCAGTGGAGACATTAAATCTAACAAGTATGCAAGTAGGTGAACTGGGTGGCTTTCTTGTATTCGCTTCTGGTCTGCAGTAACAGTGCAGTCTGCAGGCACGCGGAATTTAAATAGAGCAATGTTTACTTTGACCTGGTCCTGTGATGGCAGTCCCTAAACACTGGAAAAAAACAGCAGAGGTAATGCTACATTACCAGCTTTTACGTAACCTGCCTATAGAGTGTACCACCTACAGTGCAAGATGGTTAAAAAGGATTGGCAATGCTATCGTATTTGGGAAAATTAAATTAAATTTCCAAAGCTACCGATATTGCACTTAGTGGAGTTCTGCTTTTAGTTTAATTAACTTGTACATGAAACAACAGAATTTGATCGACTGATATTTAATGCTGACCATTAAAATCACCAACAGGGTTATTCACAAAAGGGTGACGAGTTTGGAGAAAGCAGGAGAAGTGAACAATCTAGGACAAACTAACTGATTTGGAAAAATTCTCCAATTCAGCTCACTTTCCAGCTCAGCTATGTTGTCCTAGATTGCTCACTTCCCCTGCCTTCTCCAAACTCTTCACCCTTTTGTGAATAGCCCTGCAAATGGTTGGATATGCAAAAACAAGCAAACTATAAATTACACAACATGTCATGAGCCCATTTCGCCCCTAAACAGGCCTAGGGCAATGGAAGAATGAGGTGGAGCCATTCACAGATCATACCGTCCCTACCTGACTGATTGTTTTGTTTCTCAGAAATGCTCATTTGGGGCTGTTGTGAACTGCCCCATGGACACGTTATTGTTACTGAATCTGGCCAGATAAGGGACTGTCGTCCAATGTCTATAGGCACTTTTATTATGCTCTTCAATCAAAAATGCCCCTGTGATATGTATTGAGCTTCAAAGACAGTTTGAGATACGAGCAGAGTACAGATAGCAACTCAGCAGTCTGCAGTTCAGTAACCTAGAATCGTTCCATTAAATTGGCATCAAAGTTGAGGGGGGCCATTTCTCAGAGGCCATTACGTGTGGGGATACTTTGATGACCATCAATTAAAGGAGGTTCCTCATTCACTGACCACTATATTCACTAATATAAAAGAAGCCACCAATGTAACATGCCCATTGATATAGAGCACTAATGTAACATGGGCATTAACATTGACTACTAATGTATGAAATCTATTAACACTGAACACCAATGAAATGGGAGATCTCACACTGACCACTAATGTAAAGGGGACATTTACACTGACAACACATGTAACAGGTATTCCACACTGACACACAGCATAAAGAGGCATTTACACTGACCCTTGCTGTAATGAGACATTATTATTATTATTATTATTATTATTATACAGGATTTATATAGCGCCAACAGATTGCGCAGCGCTTTACAATATAAGGAAGACATTACAATCACAATACAATTCAAGACAAGATGGTAAGGGGGTCCCTGCCCCTGAGGGCTTACAATCTGAAAGGGAGGGGCAAGTGATACATGAGGAGGTAGCTGTGTGGGGATGAATTGTTTGAGAACATGATGGTTAAGTGGTTACTGATACTGACCACTAATTTGATGGGGTCATTACACCAACCACCAATGTCATGGGGATATTTACACTGACCTCCAATGTTAAGGGGGATATTTACACTGCCCACTAGAGATGAGGTGCAGATTTGCCACAATCATGGGTTCAAGGTGCATCATTGAACACCATAATTGCACAACATGGCCTTTAAGGGGGCTTCTGATTAAACCAACCCATTCACTATACAAATGGGGCACAGAGCAGTCATAATGTTAGTTTGAAGCTGTTGCAGGGAAAGCATTGGAAAAGCTGTCAAACTGCACTGGGGGAGATTAGGGTAATTTACAAAATTGTACAATCATTTTGATTGATAGCTCTTTGAGCAATCTGTCCCTTTACTGTCTTTATTTATTTGTTCTTATTATTTGGGCTTTTTTGTCTTTCACTTTATTTTGTGGTTGATTTGAGGTCAGGGGTCACTTTTAACTGTTGCCCCATCCCACGCAAACATTATTTTTTTTGGCTGCAAGGCCTCCCTTTAAAACATTGGGCTTTTTTCAGTGTTCACCTAATCACCTCACATTATACCACTTTCATTCACCTCACCCTCATCTCCACAGATTAAATAAAAGTTAGACATATACCTGTTGGGCCTACTACCCCTAAAAAGGTTTTCTTGCTGCTTGCCAATTGTACAAAAAAAATAAAGGATGCAGCCAAATATGTGCTGCCAGTGTACATCATCGAATACTC